TGCCGCTGTGTGTGACAGAAGCGACTGACCTGTGAGTCAGCTCTGGCAAAAGCTGAAGCACTCAGTGCTTTGAAGTGCCAGCGCTCAGTGCCACATGAGAGCCACCATGCAAATTGTTTCTAAAAATGTTGGTTAGATACCCTCCTGAGGAGATATCAGTCCCGCCAAACAGTGTGGCACTGCTGCTGTTAGGAAATGGCACACAGCACAGACCTTTGCTGAACACAAAAAGGTGTTAATGTGCTTTGTTCTTATCCTCAGAGTTCCTGAATTACCTTGGTTGGGAATTTAGCTTTTTTAACTGACCTTTTCATTAGTGTTGTTTTTAGAAGATAGTTACAATGAACATAAAGCTGGCCTGGTATTCAGCTGAAAGTCCTTTTACCTTTTTTAGCAGCCACCACACAGGCAGTGGCAAGGCAAGCTTCTCTTCTCCATAACCAGCTGGGGACCAGAAATGTTTTCCCACTTTCAGTCAGAAAATTGTGCTATTCAGTCAGCACTTGAGCTGAGGAAGCTGTTGACGTGGGCCACTGCTTGTGACACTGCTTTCTAGGATGTTGAGAGACGGGCAGTGGGACTGGCCTGAGAACAGTGTAATCAAAAACATGGTTGTATCCAACACAGACACCTGGGATTGTATCAGCACTCATGTTCTGAGTGGTTTTGTTTGTTCATATTAAGCTTTCTTGTGTATTAAAACTAGTAACTGATAGAGGGATTGTTCAGTCTGGAAGCAAGGTGTCAATGGCTGATGCTGGTAATATTTGTCCCATCACTATATTAATACAATGGGTTGCAGCCATGCCTCTTAATGCCCCAGCTCACTTTGTTCTCTGAAGTTAAGCAGATCAGCACTGAAAGAAGAGCTTTCCAAAGAAAGAGATGACACCAGCTGCCTGTATACCACTCACCAGCCCTAAGTGCCCTGGTATGAATGAGGGTGAGCCACCTCAGTGTGACCTCATTACTACAAGCATCACAGGTGAAATGCTCCCTGTACCATACAGCATTTTCCTAACTTAACTCTGCTTAGGGACAGGCTTTTGCTCAGAGCCTGGGAATTAAGAAGCCTAAAAAAGGTCAGTTAAAAAAGCTAAATGGTCCATGTGAACCATGATTTTAGCACTCAGGTGCCAGCTGGCAGTCAGGGACAGTGAAATGATTCAATATTTCAGTTAGTCTCCGTCACCTACTTTTCTGTGTATGAAAAACACACGATCTCACACTCCCTGTCCAACACAGCTCAGCAAGAGTCACTTGTAACCTTTCATTTAACCCAAGCATCTTTGGTAACGGGGCTTTCCCTCTCGCCCCGGTTCCCAGGGGTGCACAGTGTCCGTGTGTCCGTGCGGGTGCTGGCAGGTGAGCACGGTGTGTGCCCGTGTGCTCCCAGACGTGCCTCGCTGCAGCTGCACGGCCCGACCAGAGAAATGCCGATGGTACAGAGAGTTCCAGCTGACTTCATTTCCTGCTGATAACTCCCCGAAGAGGAGGGTGAGGCTCGGCGTCCGCAGCGTTAGTTTAAAATGCCGAGGGGTGAGGGCAGAGGCTTCAGAGCCGAATGGTGGGTTCAAAAAAGGGAGTTTCCCCTAGAAAAACGCTGCTCACGTTCGCTTCCTGTCAGGTTGCCATTGTCAGAGGGGCTGGTGTGCAAAGCCAACCCAAAACAGGATGTTGGTTTTTAGAGTTGATTGATCTTTGAAATGCAAATGCCTTTTTTTTTTCTGTGGTTACCTTATCCCCCTTTTTTTTTCAGTTGAGAATTGAGTTGCTTGAGTGGGAACAGGAAGGGTTGAGACCCATTTTCAGGCAGTTGAAAGCCCAACATAGTAACAGCTGCTGGGTAATAGTATGAATTCTGGGAAATCATGTGGATAGCAGCAGCCAAAGCCAGACAGAGAGGTGGACAGAATGATTTCAGATACTGGCATTGACAGGTGAGCTCTACGAAACCCTCGACAAATGCCTTGACAAAGTACAGAATTACAGAATTTCAATCTGTCTTTCAGGAACCCACAGCTCCCTCCACCCTTTGCTCATCCACCACCCTGACAAACATACCTTCCCAGATTTGGCAGCTACGCAGACACACCCGAATGAGGTTGCTGTGTGGGCACAAATGCCAAAGTCAAAGCTTCAGATGCCCTCAGAAACTTTTTTTACTAGCTAGTCTCTGAATAAAGAATTGCCACATGCCTACATCTCCTCTCTGTCGCTCACTCTAGCACCCTGTGGAGGTTCCACTGTCCATCCTCTATAGCGAAAATGGAGGAGGCCAGCAAATATTAGAAGTGGTGATTCTGAGCATGGCAGAACTACTTATGCTGCCTGTTTTGCAGGAATGCCAGGATAGAGGAGTTCCTTGCACCTCTCCCCCACCTGGTGCCCGTAGCAGGAGTACCAGTTCATTTGAAGCAAACTTGCTGTTTTGGCCTCACAGGTCTTGAAAATAATGAGCTGGGAAGCTGCAAAATCCAGGCAGCCACAGTTGCAACATTTTCTCAGTCCAATGAAGTTTCCCCCTACAGCCCCTTTTAATGGCACTTGTGATTACGACAATGGGTTTTTTTCCTCCAAAGCAGAACAAATGTAGTAACTTTTTTTTGTTTTTGCATATAAGAACAAGTTAGTCTCCTAGACACTGCTGTATCCCAGAAAGTCTCTAAGCAGAGATATACCCAGGGATGTAGGGAGTCATACTCACAGGTACCTCACATTCATACTTGCATATGTGCATCATGTAAAACACCCAGTTTCTCAGTATAACCTCCCTTAAAAACGTTTGTTACAAAGTCCTGGCAGTCGAAACATGTGAGTTGTTTGCTCAGAGTTTCTAGTGTTTTTCAGTCCAGAAAAAAGAAAGAGGAGAATCAAGCCACACTTCATGTCTTCCTGTCTGGAGAAAAATATGCACCTTATTTCTGTGCATTCTCTCCTTGCTCCTGAAGGAAGAAAGATTTAGCATTAAAAAACTGAATACTGTGTACCGTGCTCAGAGCAGTGGCATTTGGGAATCCTGCTGGCAGAGATTTGCTCTGTGGCAAGATCCTTGGGAGCAGAAATAGAGTGAAGAATTGTGGTGGGGCAGCTGCAACTACCTTTGCTTTATTGGTATGGGTAAAGTGATACTGGTTCTGTCTGGCGGTTTCCTTTTCTGCAGAACTAAGCAAACAGTTTCCTCTGCAGAGTACAACCCCTGAAAGCAAAAAGAAAATACTGAAACAGAAGGTGAGCAGCATGAAGCAGCCATTGGAGGTGTGATTTTGACAGTCTGTTACATGACAGAAATCTTGAAAACAACACTTGTGACCCATGTCCAGTGAAATCCCTGAGCTTGAAATCCTCCTTCTGTCCTGAGAGCAAGCAAAGCACGGGCAGGAGAAGAATCCTGCCCTCCCTGCTTCTCAATTCAGTTCCTATTCCCTCTCCTGATCTATCATTGTCAGGACTTGAAGAAATGAATAGGATTTCCAATCAAGCAGTTTCATTTTTATGTTTCTTTTAGATCTTTAATCTCTCTTCTTATATCTGCAGTTGCAGTATCTTTTGGTTACTTACAGCAGAGAGGTTTCAACTAATCTAGTGTTTCAACAACTGAAGATTAATTAGTCCTGTTGCCCAATCTTCAGATTGCAGCAGCTCAGCCTATCGCTCTTTTGGCTGGGGACAGAGTAACTGTTGTATGTTGAATTTGGGAGATAATGAGATCACGATTTAAAGCTGCTGATTCCACAGGAGTCCCACAGCTTGCAGTACAGCAACAGTTAACTACGCTGTAAGGACAAGTGTTGGTAACAGTAAACTGGGATATCATGATGCTCACATTTAAATCCATTCTGGAGTGTTTTCAGCCATAGCCAGCAGGGACTTGTGAAACACTGCAAAGCAAAAGTATGCATCCCTTTTAGAAAAATATGCTTTAACCCTCTTCTGCCCCCAAGGTATCCTGCCAAAATGATGATATGACATTGTGTCACTCTGCAGCTGCACACAAGACAAGGAAGCCAGCAGAAGACAAAGGGAGTGTTTCCAAATTCCTCCGCACCACCCTGCTCTGAGAGGTGGGGACTGAAATTCTTGAGAAGGAAGCATATGCAAACAGTTGCTAAAAGAGATGTCCGGTTTGCAATACTGTGATCAGAATGGAAAGGGAAACTGTAGCAAAACATTCCAGAGGCTTCATTTCCCCCATCTGAATTTTTCTATCACCATGGAAGCTTCTCACTTCCAGTGCACAAGTATGTCCATCCCTGTGGAGGGAGGGAAGAACAACCTGCACCTTCTGATCTGGTGTTGTGAGGCACAAACTCAGGGTGGAAAGAGCTAGTCCTGCTCTGCAGCTGGACAGTGACAACCTTGCATGGGGACCCTCTGCTTGTGCCCATATTTGAGCAACACCCTGTTGTCTCTCTGGGGAATCACACAGCAGATATTGTCCTTCCTGGGGGTCCTAGCCACGCACCAGGACATCAAAGCCTTAAATTCTGTTCAACCCCAATAATCACCCTCTCTCTCCTCCTATTCTGCCTCTCTAAAGACAGTTCACTGCTGAGCGAAATTACTGAAAAGTGTGAAGGAAGAGAGAAGGGAAGCTGCAGTTAGAGGAAAAGAGATCGTCCTCACAAATAACGAGCAGGAGACCCTGCAGACTTGGAAAGGGAAGCGTGGATAGGGGAGATCCAGGCAGAGACACTGGGGCAGCAACCAGAAGGAGTGGAGAGAAATAAGGACAAAACAGGGGTGGGTGGATGGGAGGGGAATAAAGATAAGGTGATAGAAAATACAGAGGGGAGAAAGAAAGGAAGGGAGGAAATGCACATGTGGTGTCCCCAAGTTTGGGCGCAGCGGCAGAGTTTGTTGCTTGTTGTCTCCTGAGCCCAGCACTCCGGGAAGGACAGTATCTGTTTAGATTTGTGTCTAAATTTAAACCCTGATTGCCTTGCCTCCCCCTCCTCTCCCCTCCCTCCCTTCCTCTCACCCACCCGCCCTTCTTCCTTGTTCGTAGTGCAGGGCCACTCGCTGGGCTCTGTCCGTTTTCAAGCTGAGCAGGAGCTTGGATATAACACTCCCTCCACGGCGGCACGATTTTGCTCTGGCTCGGCTGAAGTTTTCCCACAGATAAGAGGGAAAGGGGTGGGGAAGAAAGATTGCCCCGAGGACACCTCTTTCTTGCAGGACATGGAGGTAAAGAAAACTTTTATTTCCACTAGCTTGTGACTCGCTCCTCGATCTGCTTTAGCTCCACCTTGCAAAGCAATTTCTCACTAAAGGCAGCTTCAAAATCTCTCTTCGCTGGAGTTCAGATAAAGGTCTCTCCCCTCCCACTCCCCCAGCCCCTGCCATGCACCTCAGACTATTTTGTCGGTTTTAGTTCAGATTTGGAAAGTAGGGGGATGTTATGGGGAGAAATTACATCTGTGAAAGGGGAACGAGGAAGGACTGCCATTTACTGTTTTAATCTCTGAGGTGGGAAAGAGAGTTAGATTTTAAAAGGTGTCATTTTGAAAGGGGGTTTTAAGAAGCCTTTAAAAATGGGGACATAAGGAGAAGGAACAAACAGTGCAGGCTTGGGAGGCTGCTTGGGGTTGATTCTTACCCAACCCATGCAGCAGCAGCAGTGATTTGGACCCCGAGCTGTGTGAACCCCTCGTTCCACGTGGATTGGGAGGTGTCACTTTCGTTATCAATAGAGCATTTTGGTTCATGAAAAAGGACCCAAGAACTGTTGCTTCAGCAAGGTAGATGAGTAGCACACCCCCGGAGGGTTTCCTGTCCTTTTTTTTCTCCGTGCCACATGTCCCGTGCTTCAGGAGAGTTGGATCTCATGTCTCGGAGGGGGGGGGGCACACAGCTGGTGGACAGCAGTCTGGCTTCCTTGGTATTTACGTCCAAGCCTTCTCCTGTGTAACACCCCCTTGGGCAAGGCAGTTCACCTCCCCTTGGTTCTTTTTCCATTCATTCAAAATGGGAATGATGGTGCTTGTTTCGGTCATGTCAGACTGGATTTGCAAGCTTTCCGAACAGTTTTTTTAAGTGGCAAAGGAATAAAAATATTTATTTTTAGGAGGGGCACAGGAAATAGAAAGGTGATTACAACATTGGCAAAACCTCAAATGACGAAAGAGAGGACATTTGGTATTTCTCTTAGCTAAAGAGAGATCTTACTAAACACTTTATATTAGATAAGCATTTTTCTGCATGGATGAAGTCCCAACAGCAGGGGACATGCAACAGAGCCAGAGAACAGAGTTCTTGAAGCACCACTTAAGTTTGCCTTTGAAGATTTCCAACGCATAGCTCAATTGGGCAGTTCTGATAACACACAGGTGCTCACGTTGCCATCCTTGTTATCTGTGCTGACCGTCCCCACAGGCAAGGGTTAAAGATCTGGTGTGTTCAGGCATGTTCATGACCAAAAAAGTCCTCAATCAAACTATCTGAATAGATTTTGGGGTGGAGAAAAGACCAAGCAGTGGTCACACCAACTCAGCACAGACTACACGTGGCATGACAGATATACAGCTTTATAAGGGCTTTCAGGTTTGACAGAGCCCGATTCAGTAACTGCTAATACTCCTTTTATTCTTTTTCACTATGTAGTATCCTGGGATATCTTAGAAGGGATGGGGAGCTGAGCTCTTAATTTTTATGTCCTCTATGCACAGTAAGCCACATATGGAGCAAAGACTGACTTAGAGCTGAAGCAGATATTTTGTCATGTTGAGGACACTCTCCCCTACCCCCTCTCCTCTTCTCCTCTCCACACACAGAGGACTGCACCCCTTGAGTATTTTCTGTTGTCAACCACAGTGGTGTTTTGGAGTAGAAAGTGGCAGACCTGCCATTTCCTTTGGGACATGTGTGACACATATGGAAGGTCTGATGGTCAGGAAGCTTTTCTGAAGTATACAACCTAAAAGTTTCCTGCTCTTGATTTTGCCCCTTTACCTCTATTTCACACTTTTTGCCCTGGTTACCTTTTTTTATCATCTACAGATTGCTGTTTCCATTCTTATTTTTAAGATATCTCAATTCCCAAGCTATTTTATAAGTAGTGCATTTGGTCTTGCCCCAAGCCTCCAAAAAGGTGTTTAATGTCCCAAAGGCAAGAAGATATTAGACCAAAATAGAGCCAAGAGCAAGAACTTGAGTTTCCATCAGTTGATTTTCTCCACTCTGTTTCTTCCTGAGGGCTTTTCACAGGCATCATAAACAGGACCCAGAGACTCAGCACAGTCTTTTGCTTTAAAACCAGATTTAATGATCCTGTGCAACAGGAACGAGAAGTCCTGTCATTTCCCCCTTTGCTTCATCATTGGCAGGCAGGGCTGCTCTGTGCTTTCCTGCTGGCATAACTGGTAGGCTCTTTGCTCTGATGGGACACATGAGGATTACCAGCATTAGGGGAAAAAGGGCAGAGGGCTGACCTAGACAGCTGATTTCCATCACGTCTCTGGCAGGAAGACCCTAGTTTTGAAAAACCCACAGAAGTGAGATAGCTGGGATTGCTTTCTCAGAGTGGTTAGTCTGGGTTTGCCACTCCTTAGGGACTAGTACCTTAGCCATTCTGCTGTCAGGAATGTACCACATTGAAAGCAGTAACTGAAACCATTTAAGACCCTGAAGAGGGAGAAAAAGGCAGCAAAATGCTGTTCTTGCAGTTCATGTAATTTTGGGAGTCTGCTGATCTTCAGTTTGGGATTTTTTTTAAGATGCAGCTTCTTGATGCAAGATAGATTTCAGAATCATTTTTCTTTCCAGTGTTAGGACTGATGAAAGGAACTTGAAATCGCGAAGCTTATACCACAGGCTGTTAACATGAGGAGTTCATATCAAAAGTGTGTAAAGCTGCACTGATGAAAGCTAAGCCATTTATAAAACACTAAACATTCTTTGCACTCATGGTACAAAAGGATCAGAAATTTTTGTGTTGCTGTGTTAGTTTACATCTTCAGATTTGGTCCAAGCTGTCTAATTCCCAGAGCTGCACCAAACCTTGCTGCAGATGTGAGCTAAGGCATCTGCTGAAAGTGCTTGTGGCTTTCTGCAGCCCGACAGCAGTCATGGCATTCCTCTTCCCAGCCTCTCTGTAGGAGCTTGGGAGCATGGAGACACTTGAACTTTACTCACACAGCAAAGGGAAGCAATCCAAGACTGAGTTTTGCTTTAGTGGCTCCCTGTGGTGTGATGGGTTCCTAAGCCGCAAAGGTGCAGCAATCAGGTTTATTTTGGGAAGGCTCCCTCTCCTTTGTGCCTACCAACAGCTGTAGATTAATTCTGTGACATCTCCATTCCCATATCTCTTTTCTGTAAGTACTCCTGATAGATCTTCCTTTTTCCTGTTGGTACTCTGGCTCAGGAGAGGGACAGCTTTTCCAGGGCTGAGGGCAGATCTCTGCTCACTTCACCACTTCCCTTCTGGGCAACCTACTGGGCATGGCTCCAGCTCCAGGCCCTGTGCTCTCCCTGCACCAGTGTTTTCATCTTGGACATCTTGAGTTACTCCTTGGAGTCACTGCTTTTTTCAGTAAAGCCCCACCTCCTGTGTCAGGTGAGGATACCACAGAGGGGTCCTGCCCCACTCTAGTGAGCAGCAGAGCAGTGTGGAGAAAATTCCTGAGTCTGCCATTCTCCATCTCACTGAGAGACTGCAGAAACTTCCTGGGGTTCAAACACATTCCTTCCCTCAACAGGCAAGGTCAAAAGCACTGTTTTTCTTTGTGCTATGGTCTGCCAGACATCACAACATTTCCAGGTCCAGTATCTCAGTTGCTGCACCATTCCCACAGCCACAAGGAATGACACCCTCACCCAAATGACAGGGCAGCTTGCTTTCAGAACAGGCACTTACCCTGTCCTTAGGAAAACTGCATGAAGGATATGTGACCTGTCACCCAAGAGGACTGAAGTGGAGGGGATGTGCAGATGATGGGGCTGAAATCTGTGACCATCGTGGTCCTCAGAGCAGCAGGACAGTAGGTGAGCTGGGCTGAGAGAGGTCTCTGCCCACCCTTGCAGCTGTGGAGCAGAGATTAACAGGCATTATGCCATGGTTAGGCCTGCCAGGAAACAATTTTCCTTTCTCAGGAAACTCTGATGCTTGACTTTCACTCTGAAAGTTAAAACAATAATTTTCCCCTCTTTTTGGTTTTGCTTACAGAACAGTTTAACCTCAAATACACTTGTTTTCAGTGTTTCCTCCCAAACTCATCAAAGTGACACATTTGTGCAGGGTGTCTGTGTAGATAAAGGGAAGAGTATTTAAATACATCAGGAGAGGTACCATATGACCATATTTTATTCCTCAGGTCTGGGGAGATTTAGGACCTGCATGTTTGCAGCAGAGGGTCCTGGAAAGGATCAGATTTGCCAGACTTCCATAACACAGCAACTGGAGGCCTCTCACTTAAAGGACAGAAAACAGCAAACCCAAACCTCATGGGCTGTGCTGTGACCCTTTCTTGTACCTAGCAGAGACCCCAGAGTAAATGGAATTCAGGCTTTTCCCGTGTCACCAGAGAGGGCTGATTCTTCTGAACCCCTCATCACTCCCCAGTGTAACCTTTGGTTGTCTGAGTGTCCCAAGTCATGCTGGAAACACCTTCTATCCTGTACTCCACAGTCTAATCGAGCAGCATATTATGCATACCTTCTCATACATTCCCAGCATCACCTTATCTGAAGAACAGGGGAAAACATCAGCATTGCTTTATCAATACCTGCTGCTAGAAAACCTTTTTGTCATGGAAATAGCCAAGCCCATACAAACTAGGGTTGATTTTCCATTCTGTTTTCACCTGGTTAGTTAACAGTAGTTAACAGACTTGCCAGATGACAGCTAGTATTGATGCATGGCTTTTTCTTTCGTTCTTCATCATCAAATTTTAAAAGAGCTCAAAGCCTATACAATTTACAAAGTTGTGAGCTGTTTTTTGTTGCATACGAGAGTCCTCAGGTAAATAAACCTGTTTGCCCTTTGTAAAGAGATGCAACAATATTGTGGTCAGTGTGGATTACTAATGGCCAGTCTGCAAAGGATATTGATTCACCACTGCCAGCTTCAACAAAGTTCATCTCAGGCTTCTCAAATGCACAGAGAATTGAAGCGTGTGGTTCAGAAAGCCTAGGTACCTAAAGAGTGCAGACCAGCGACTTGTTGTGCACAGAAAGGCACAAAAATGCAA